ACCATCATCATCATCATCATCATCATCATCATCATCATCATCATCATCATCATCATCATCATCATCATCATCATCATCATCATCATCATCATCAAGTGCCATATCTGCGGCAGATGTCGGCGACCATAGTTTTCCATTTATTCCTTTACTTGGATGCTCTGATCTTTCCCCGTTACCAATCTGTTTAGGTTCTTAAAATAGGTTGCTCTAGTCCTACCCCTGCCTTGTTTGTTTTTAGTTTTGCCAGTGAGAGCTAGATGTTCTTTATGACTATTCAGGTGTCCCAAAAACTGCATTTGTCTTTTTCTGATTGTTTTTTTTTAAATCAATGAGCATCCAACGTTGGCTTCATCAAGTACTGACTCAATTGATTTCTTTTCCTTTCAGGATATTCTCGACAGTCTCCCAATAAACCCCATTTCTGTTGCTTTTATTCTCACTGCCTTTAGTGGTTGTCCAGCATTCACAGAAGGGTTGACCATACATAGGACTACATTATCCCCTTTAACCTCCTTTTAGCACTTTTGGGATTTACCGTACAGAATTCATGATATAGCAACTTCTTTCATCGCTTTGTCACAAATCAGTGAAATCACACACAATCACACACATACGCCCCCCCCCACTTACATACACACACAAAGACACACACACACACACACACACACACTATACACAATCCATATTGTAATTATAAATGTGTACTTTGATACATGTGTATCATTATATATAGCTATGCATGTTTATTACGTCACTACATATACTTGTATATCCCTATAATGACATTATATTATGTATCTATATCAACATATAACCGATCATTGCTGACCAGATACCTGTTCTCCTGATCTCACTACATGTGTTGCTCGCGGCGCTCATTTCTTAATTTCTGTTTACTTCTTAATAATATTATTATGATCTCCTTTTTAACTGTGTACCTATGAAATGGTGCCTTTTCAAGCTCTTCCTCTCACCTAGAGAGAAATGATTAACCTTACCTTTTCCGATATACTCACAGGGTTATAGTATCACGTATATAATAATTGTCTGTACTGCAACTTTCTTCAGAAGCTTGACAAGGAGAAGCTGGTGATCGAAGGGCACTACTGGTACGTCCTACTTCTTTGCTTTCTCGTTATTGTTTCTTTCTGTCTTACTTTTTCCCAGCATTACATTACCATTATTGTGTCGATGTGCTTCTTTTTACTCAAAACAAACAAACAAACAAACAAACAAACAAACATAGGAAGAGAGAAAAAGGAATAACAAAAAAGAGAGAGAGACTCACGTAGTGCCCGAATCTGGTCTGGTCTTCACCGATGACAATAAACTCTCCTGGGTCTTCGGATAGGTCGCATATCAGTTTGATGTATGCAGTTCTGGAAAGTAGTTGTGTCATGTTCAATCTCCCCGTGGTACACATCTTTTCGCAACATAAACGAAAAGATTAAAGGAGGGCTGGGCAAACAATTCGTGAATTCTGAAAATAGTATATATTTTCATGTAGCTTTGGAGTTATTGGTTTACTGCTCGGGGCACCAGGCTTAATATCTATTGAAACTTTGACAATAAGGACTCCACTCTCAAAGGTAAATGTACTGTTATTTCATAAATTAATCATCATCGTCATTGCCTTTCTCACAATAAATATCAACAAGAATACCAAGCAGTAGACATACGTCAAACAGATAACTCAGCATCAGTTGCACAGAGTGAATGGACATGGGAACAGATGCTTGGAAAAAGCAAACCCCCCCCCGCAAAAAAACAATAAAAAAACAACAACAAACAAACAACCAAAAAAAACCCCACAAAACAACAAACACAATCAACAACAATGACAACAAATAGCAAACTTATTCAAATCTCACCTGACAAAGTCTGTCCCAGCTGGGTCTAATGTGTCGGCTGTGTAAGACAAGACGAGCCCTTCCTCTGTCACAGAAAACTTGGCAGACGCCTGATTACCCAGACTATAGAAGATTGAGCTAGTGAACGTCACCTTCTGGCAGGCCTGGGGGGGATAAAATGAGACCGACTCTTTTGCCCTTTTCTTAATAAAGATGGCACCAACATAGGCAAAAAGTACGACTGATCTAATGAATATCCACTCTGTTTTCTCGGTCCTGCAAGGCGACTTTCAAAAGGTACTAAAAATTTTTTTGGTGCTAGAGTAGAATAACAAGTTAGCATATTCACACAAGCAACAACAACAACAACAACAACAACAACAACAACAACAACAACAACAACAACAAGGGAGGCGGTGGCCCTGGCGAAGAGCACACTCTTCGGGGCTCCGAACATTTCGAACGGATAGGCTACCACACACACACAACAACAACAACAACAACAACAACATTTTTGCAAGCAATAGTTCAGTGCCCTTGTATGGAGCCAGGGTTATCTTATCTTATTCAAGGGCAGTCTCCCCCCCTTTCCCCTCCCTCGAGTGACCACCTATCTGAAAGCCGTTGTCGATTTGACCGTAGTTTTGCATTTTTTCTAACCAGATTTCACTCTCCACAATTTCATTGTTCATTGCTATGCACGTTCATCGCTTTAATTTTGAGAAACGCTTTTAGAATGTTTTGCTTTTGCTTGATTTACCTTTTCACCAACTGCTGAAGCTGTTGATATATTTTTACTGTAATAAGGTTTTAAAAAAAAAGTTCAATAAATATGCTGACCATGTACAAACACATCAATAACTGCGCTATTCTTTTCAAAATATTGTACTGACCTACATGCACACATACACTTGCAGGACATAAGTCTAGTTGTAGATTTTTCGAATTTAGAATGCTCAAAGGAATGAATCTTTGATGAGTCAAAACTGTTAACTTTTGTGTTGTACAATGCAGAGGTGTTTCTGTAAAGCACTAGAATTAATGAGGGATGTTGGCTTATCATAGTGACGTACTATTTATAACTACACTTACTGCCACATTGTGACAATCTCCAGTAGTGAACGGAACACATGGATTCCAAAAATATCGTTGGGTGTTAGAAGTTGGGAGAACACCTTCAAATCTGTAGAAGAGTAGTAAAAAAATTGGGAGTGGTTACATTACGAAGAAAATGGCGTAAGAAGGTTTGAAGAGAAATAACAACATGACACGTGGAAGTGGACAAGGTGGGAAAGATTAAGGTGATGTTGAAGAGTTTTGTAGACAAATGGACTAATGCTGAGCTTTGAAGTTGTTTCGATTTCGATGAAATGAAATGATATAGTTTATAGTCAGTTAATAGAGCTGGGCAATGAGTCGCTTCTGCAAAATCCGGATAACATTTTAGTGCACCTCTTCGGCTAATAATATGATACGAACCGCTTCTGCAAATGGGTTAGAACCACTTTGACAAACGGGTTATCATCACTTCAACAAATGGGTGCACCCACTTCGGCAAACGGGTCAGGAAAGAGAGTTAAGAGTCTGAAATTGGATAATGTTTCATTGAGAATTATCCGGTTTTCCTTTTGGATTATCCGGATTTTGCCCACCTCTATCAGTTAAGTCATTTGTGACTAACTGATTCTGTACATAATGCATGCAGAGTGATGCAGTGGTGATATTATAAGCTCTAAGATATAAAAAAAGTGAACGCAAATATTGTGAGTGAGTGAGTGAGCTGTCATTGATGTCTAAACAAGACACACGCGTCATGACTAACCAGGGCAGATGCTTGAGATTTTCCAAATAATCATAATGTGGGATCCGATCATTTAGTTGAAAGTGGACACTCAGAATGGTCGTCTTTGAGCGAAAACACGTTCAAAGCTTGAGAACAAGAACGTGACTGAGCGTGATAAGGGGAGTGTCCGTTTCGGAGTAGGAGTTAGTGCACAGAGTATTGTCCATTGTCAGTTCAAGGGGAGCCATGTTCTCCCATCGTGTCAGAAGTACAGTGGTCAGTGACCACGTTGATTAAGAATCCAAGTGGCTGTGAATGTCGTTCAGCCATCTCGATGTTCGTTAGCAACGCTGCTGTCAGACTGCCTCGCTGTTATGCCCAGATATAACTTTCTGAACAAGACTAATGGTCCTGGTAAAAATTCAACAAAATGATTTGACTGACGTCCTTGCCGATGGCTGCATTAATTACAATGCTAAATATTGCTGAGAGCATGTTTGTCTGGATTAAAAGTATTGTATCTTCAACATTGGGCGGGCTTGCAGTATATTTTTAGAGTAGAATTCTTCATAAAACGTTTTATGAACGCTATGGGCATAATGCTATAAAGCTGAACAATGAACTCACCTTGGAGTACCGTCAGTGTTGGCAAGTGGCTTGAGGTCAATCACTCCCAGGTCTGATGAATGGCAAGAACAGGGATTCAATATGCTGCAATCCTTGACAAGCGGACGGTCATTGTTTTCTAAGTTTTTCACCCCCATTGCGAACGCGCCATTATGTAAAGCAAGGTTAACCACCATCGTGATCAACACCAATAAAAAATACATATCGAAAGAAATATAACTTTTGTGCACAGAATCCCAGATGTTTTTTACCAGATGTTTTTTTCCTCCAAGTTTGGAGAAGCTATGCAAATGATGACTCGGAATATATAAAAAACAAACAGGAGACGTAAAAACTCATTGCTTTCAAATAAAATGGTTGGTTGCACGCTTAAAAAGCGCTTAAGATACCATAGTGGGGGAAAAGCTGCCAACCATGGATATATACTCTATTTTGTGTTAACACTGCCGAAATCTTTGTAGCTAAAAGAAACTCAACACGATCGAGAAGAAGCACTAAATAAACTGCGAGAAGACAAGCTACTTTATCTTCTCATCAAACAGCTAAGTTGTAGCAAGTTCGATGCATATTCCCAAACGCCCAGTCGTGAGGGAACGCATACATTAACGCTACCAAGACGAGGCAAGTGTTATGGTTCATTGACGTATGCAAATTGTGCGCATTAACACACCCCCTCAAACAAAGTAGGCTACTCTTATGCAGATGACAAATAGTATATGCTATACGCATTGTGGTGTCTTCTCGTTATAATATTATTTCCTCAGCCCCCTTGAAATGGGTGTTTGTATGAATTTAGTCTTTTCTTCTAAGATTGAGACACATTTATCAGTAATAACTTTTGCATAATACTCTAGAGCAGGCATGGGCAAATACGTTCAAGTCGCAGGCCGGATAAGGCGTTTCCTAATAATTATCTCGTGAATCAAAGCAGAAGAAAATTAAAATGGGG